GATCAGTGACTGATCAGTGACAGATCTGCTCCGGCCAGTGAAGCACCGGCCCCTTCCCTCACAGCCCCCAGCGCTCACAACCATGAGAACACCGAGCAGTTCCTCGTACCGCTCTGTAACACCCAATGCCCGGAAAAGTGCCACGCGAGCGGGTGGCTCAGCAGTGCTACAGTGATTCTGCGAGGAGCAGAGGACTATAAGGGAATAAGGTACAAATTGGGATCAGGTGAGGCCCTGGCACAGAGAAGCTGTGGCTGCCCCTGGATCCCTGGAAGTGTCCAAGGCCAGGCTGGATGGGGCTTGGAGCAGCCTGGGATAGCGGGAGGTGTCCCTGCCCATGGCAGGGGGTGGGATGAGATCGGCTTTAAGGTCTTTTCCAACCCAACCCATTCTGTGGTCACCTGGCAGAGCACATAGGATTTAATGGAGTTGAAAGATCACTGCCCAAAAGTCCCTACTCATTAATTTATTAGAGCTGATTCCTTTCCCAGTGAAGGATGTCTCCACACTACCCACAGCACAGCTGCTGCACTTGACACCAGGCAGCTGAAGGACAAGCCACAAACACTCCCCTGAAAGCCCATGGAAGTAACTGTTGAATCAAACTTAATGTAGGTTCTGAGCTAATTGAGTAGAAGCTAAAGGAAATATAAAAAATAGAAAGCCCAAACTGCTCCTAGTAAGTTTAGTAATACTGTCATATATTCATGCTTATGGGAAAGTAAAAATCGAATCACATCCTATATTCTTAAAACTTCCCACACTAGCAATGCAATTATGGTGGTTAAAACAAACTGCACCCCACAACACTCTACCTCTGTGGTCACTTGTCATGCTGAGTGACCACATGTAAAAGAGGTTATTAAGTTATAATTATGATGTTCTTAAAGTTCTAAGTGTATGTTTCAATGTACTTTTGATATTAAGTTCACACTATCAAAAATAAACACAACTCGCAGTATTTCGGATCACTGATATATTAGTAATTGTTGAGAAAAAATCCCACATGGAAAGAGCTGCCTATGAAAGAAATGAGGTGAATAATAAAGTGGAAAAGTTATCCTTGAGAAAATATATACAGATAATTATTATGAAAATAAGATTGCACAAACAGTATTTTGCGTAGAGCTCAACACAATAGGAATTTGCCTTTATGGAAAATATAGCTAAGAATAAAAATACATATTTCAAACTTCTTTACATCTGGATGGAAGGTAATAGCACAAAGCTATAAACTATTGAATATTTACAAATTAGGAAGGCCAGAATGATTACATTTCTATGATTGTAAGTACAGAAGAAAGAGGGCCCAGATTAGTTGCATACTAATCAGTACATTTTTGCAATGTCCATTTTTGTAAGATCCCTCTATCCAGTTTAATGTCACCTTGCTGCTGCTTAGCCAAAATCCATGTGAAATTCCCCTGCCAAGTTTTAATCTTCCCCTCTGAAGCCCAGAGCCCACAAGACACTCACACAAGCACATACCCGACTGTTTTGCAGTAGAAGAGCCACAAGAACAACTGAGAAATGGTAAACCTTGGTTTTTACTAGTGAGTATCTGCAGTGGCAGGCTGCTGGAGCTTCAGTACCTCAATGTGCAGCTGTTTGGGAGGATAGCTTATCCATTTGAGGGTGTTTTGGAGTTTTTTCCCCTATGGAAATTTATAGGTTCGCAAATAATAATAAAAAATTAAGCTTCCAAGAGACCTTAAAAATGGTTCTGTTGCCTACTTTGGTGTCATTGCATTTCTGGTGGAATTAGGACTTTTGTGAAGAGGCACCAGCTTCACAGATTTCAGATCTACTCAGCTTTTTCCACAAGATCTGACAGCAGCAGCAGCAGCCACAAAGAAAACACAAAGTCTGTCTGGTAATGTCAAGGCATTGGTCTCATTTGGCTCTCCTACAAACACAGCGGGTCTTTTAGAATATGATCACTTGCACACATTTATTGCATGATGTCCAACAACCCAAACAGTCTAATATAAAGGCCATGTAAAATACAGTCACTGCTAAAGCCTTGTTTGCTGGCACATTAGCTCATTCTGCCTGCCAGCATAGGTTTGAATGAATAAAATACAAATTTGAGGAGTAGTAGTGGCGTACCGACCCATTGGTTTCTAGATTAGGGTTACTCCTGTTCCGTGTCATGAACCAGCTGGTTTGTACAACACAAGACCAAAACTGATTTCAGAGCCTGCTTTCATCTTGGAACAGACTTTCAAGCAACATTAATTTCAATACCTAGATTTCTTAAAAAAAAAAAAAAAAAAAAGTTGAGCTACTGAGCTATGGCACTGCCAACCCATCAGCTTAAAACATGCATGAACAGGCTGAGAAATGAAGATTTAACAGAACAGTAGAAGTCAATAATGGCTTTATAGTATTCTTCAAAAAAAGCCACAATTCCAGTTTCACTTTCTCTCAGTCTGAGGTTTCTTTCCCAGCTGCCCTCACAAACACACTGCAAGACAGTGCTGGACAGGGATGGACGGACGTGGTTCCTGAAGTTCTGCTTCTTGCTCTGCATGGACATGCACTTCATCTCTCTATGATCCAGTGTGGCCTCATAACCAGGGAGCCATTCCTCTTAGTCAGCGGGGGAGAGGTGTGCATCGTGTTATTTGGGGTGTACACAGCCTCCCTGGAGGCGTGCAGCCAGCTCCTCTTCCTCTTCAGATCTCCTACAAATGCTCTCAGATATAAAAATTCCATTCTCAGGAAGTGTTCCCTGGTCATGTCTCTGGAAGCCACTGTTATCCTGAACAGCTGGTCCCGCACCCTGTTCTTCTTGCAGCTGGAAAACTCTTTGAGGTTGACAGGCTTTGACCGTGAATGAAGAATCCGAAATTCCAGGTCAAAGTGTGCAACGGTGGGGCCTGACAGGATCAAAATGTTACTGCTGTTCAGCTTCCCATCTGTCCATGTAAAACTAGCAAAGGAAGAGTGAGAAAATTATAAGTGAATTCAAAATAATCAGTAAAGAAAGTGTTCACTGAAAATTCTCCTTCATCATGTTTAGTTATGTTGTTCTTACAACCCAACTGATGAGCATTGGGCTCTTCTAAGGATAAATGTTGGCTATAAAGTCTGATAAGGAAAGCAATTCTGCAGCATTGCTGGTTTTCCTTTCCATGAAGAGAAATCATGTAAAGAGAGAGAAAAAAATTGGCACTTGCCTGTAGGAGCCCGTTGTCACTCTAATGCCATCAATTAACATGAACTTTTCACGTACTTTTCCAATGATTTTGGCACCTGACCTGGTGCAGTATGTGCTCCCGGTGATAATCCGAACCCTCATCAACTGTTAAAGACATGGCCAGAGTCAGGTGGACTGCAAAGTTCAGTGACTGCATTCAAAGGAATAACACAGCAATAACCATCCCTGAGGAACTGTGCACTGGCACAAGAGTCACCCACTGAGAACCAAGTGAGGATCTTGTTTTTGTAGGCAAAGAGGTGACATTAAAGGGAAAACCCATAAACTGACTGTGCAGAATGTGACTGTGAAAATTCCTGTCACCTAATCATCAGGATCCAAATTCCACAGACTCCTGAGAACCTGCTTCTCCCTCAGCCTTCAAAGTCTTGGCGAGCCCAAGCAACTCCAGTCATGCTTTAGGAACTGGACATTCCTCCTGCATTTCCTTGAACATTCAATTAGTATCTGTGCTCAGAAAGCAGCTGTAACATCCAATTACAAAGGTTTCTGATTTTCTATTAATCACTGTCTTAGGTAAGAATAGTAAAATCTTCCAAGGTAGAGCTGGAGCAACCTAACACCCATTTTAAGTTGTGGCAGCAGGTGTAATAATTTCTTCTTTTGACAGCTTAAAGATTACAGTCATAAGAGGATCAGTTCCCTACCCCTATAAATATGACAAGGCTTACCTTTTCCTGCTCAAGGTCAACTCCCAGATCCTTGCACATTTTTAGAAAGTGGGAAAATGAAGACTGATCTAGAAGGATATACACTTTAACTTTCCGTTGGCTACAGGCTTCCAAGAGGTCTGTGAAGATATCAGTATCTGTGAAGGAATCCATAACCAGAGCAATCATCTGAAACGAATTTAAGAAGAAATCATTAGGTTTTTTCCACAGCATCGCAAGGGAGATAGCACATGAGAAATTTGACTTTCAAATTAAATATTCCTCCCTGCCTTTTTTTCAGGTGGTTATGGAACATGGTACAGTTTTCTGTGATACAGAGTATTCTTCCTCACACTGAGGTAGAACCAGACACCTGGTTTTGACCTATATGAAGCAAATTTGGTCTCTTCCTAAGCAAGAGGGCTTGTTTTGGTTTTATTTCTTCAGAACAGATGTTCCTCAAAAGCATTGTGAGAAGAAAAAGGTGAGCTTACTTTCAATGCTACAGTTTTCCAGTCTTTCAACTTTGCAAATATAAAAATAAACTGTAAGAAAACCTAAAACCACCAGTGTCTGACTGCTCTTTACATCTCACCTAAGATAAAAGTCAGGTTCGTCTTCGCTATAGTATTCGGATTCTCACATTTCAAGTCAAGATCTGAGTAAAACCTCCCTTGAGAGCCAGCTCGTACCCCCGCAGATATTCCCCGTGGGCTGAGCCCCGGGGTTTGCCGTGGATCCTCCGCAGGATGGGGAAGGAGCGGCTGTTTCAGAGAGCCGGGAATGGGCACGCTCGGGATGTTTCCACTCCCTGAGGGAACTTAGCGGCACCCAGAGAGCCCGGACTCCGTTTTCAGCAGTATGGGAGCGGGAAAGCTGACAAATAATGAACCTCTTTAAAAAATAACTACAAAAGATGATGGAGAAGACATAAAGCAATACGAAACACCAGAGTAATTAAAAATGGAAGGTGATGTAAGAGTAAGCGAAGCGGAGAAGGACGAGTCGGCCCCGGGAAGCCGCGCGGGCAGGGCAGGGCGCTCCCGGGCACTCACCTGCCGGGCGGAGCGGATCTGCCGCCGCACCGCCTCCTTGCAGCCGTAGATGCTGTCCCCGCAGCCGGGCTGGAAGTGCGCCTCTACCCGCGTCAGCCCGCGGAAGGCGCCGCTGGCGAAGCCCGGCCAGCCCAGCTCCAGCGCCGGCGGCTCCAGGTCCGAGCGCTCGGGGAAGTAGGTGAGCGACGACGCGTCCAGCGAGGCTCCGGCCGAGGGCTCGGCCGCCGGCTCCGGGCCCGCGGCGGGCGGCAGCGCGGCCCGAGCGATGTCCTGCACCTCGGGCTCCGACAGGAAGGGCGCCAGCTGCTCCCGCCGCAGGAAAGCCCGCAGCGCCTCGGGGCCGCCCGCCACCAGCTCCTCCAGCGCCAGGCGCTGCGCCTCGCTGTACGGCCCGGCCGGCGGCGGCCAGCGCCCCGAGCCCTCCTCCAGACACTGCGATGCCGCGGCCATGGCCGGAGCGCCCCGGCGCTGCCCCGGCTCTTTATAGCGCTCCGCGGGCTCCTCCGCACCTCCCGGCCGGCTCCGCTCCTCCCGGCCGCTCGCCCACGGGACAGTCACGGGTGGCACAGCCCGCAGCCTTCCCCACGCCCAGGGAAGCGCCCGCAGAAGCGCCAACCTCTAAGGAGGAAGGATCAGCCCAGCCCTGGACCTGCTGCCTTGCCCCATCAAAAGGCTGCTCCTAAGGTTGGAGAGGGCAAATGGCCCAAGCAGGAAAGCACCGAGCGCCGACGAAGCGACTTAGTCACCCCGATTTAAAATGCCAAATAAACAGCAAACAAAGCTCAGCGATGATCAGGTGAAAACCCCATGGCAAAAAGGAGTTTATTTGTAAACTGTTTCTTGTTCCTGTTAGAGTACCTTAACAGCAGCACGGTATAATAAAAAGCACATAGAACAAACAAGGTAATTTTACATACATTCAAGAACTGCAGGACTTGAGCTCTCAAAAATACAACTCGATACTGGCTTTGAAGGTGTAATCTTGGCTCCCTCCCTGCACATTGGTTTGCTGCCAGCATTCCAGATCCACAAATCAAGCAATAAAAGTACCTTATCATTTTGAACAAGTGCAGACAGGACTTTTTTCCCACCTCCAGCTTTAGTGAAGGAGTGGCTGCTTTGAAATCCAGGTAATAAGAGTAGCTAAACCTCTTTGCTTATAGAGATTTCAGACAGAAAAGCCAAAGTTAGTTGTTCTCAACACTTACAGCCTTTTTGAGTTATGGATATTTTTATTCATTCATTCAATATGCAAGCCAACAGCTGAAATGTGCCATCTACTGGACACACTTGCCCCTAAATAAAAAAATACATAACCCAGGCTGATTTGATTTGATTTGGCAGAATTCAGTGTGGTTGGTTACTGAAGTACTGAGATCCAGGTCTAAAGAAAAACAATACAGCTCAGATCTCAGGGACAAACTGCACACACTGCTCAGGTAAGAGACCCAGCAAGCACACACATGCACAGAAATCTGAAAATAGTCAGATAAAGGCTTTGCAAAGCAACCAAACCTAAGGTCCACTCAATATGGGAAATCTTCAAAAAATAAAGTGTCACTTTAGCTCCTCAAGTCAAGTTAGTAATGGAAAAATTATAGAGGGGCAAAGAGTATTTCAGACAGCATAGTTAAAAAAGAGAAAAAGGTTTATTTAACTTCTAAAGTTACTTGTAAATTAACATTACCCAACATAACCCATAACATTCCGTAGTGCACTTGTCAGTTTACTTTTGAACAGCGGCTTTGTCACATGTCCCCAGTGATTGTCTTGCCTTGGAGTTCACTGCAAAGAAGGGAGCACACACATACACATATATATTTATATATCTCTCAACAAAGGCACAAGAGCATGATCAAACTAAAGGGCTAGTTAGTTATTTCTGTTTCAGAAGGCTTAAACAATAGAAAAATAATACAGTTGAAGATAACCTGCAACTGTTTCAACAGACTCTTTGTGACTTTAGTGAAAGAGTAACATGTATATTACAGAAGTTAGAATAAAATCAGCTTTATGGCTCTTTGTAAAAGCTGATTCCTCTCCTGTCAAAGATAAAATAGAAATAAAAGCCAATATTGGGAAAAAAAAATCATTGAGAATTCCTTGATATAAGATAGATCTCCAAAGCCACTCTGAGCAAGTTTAGTGTGACTCAGATTTTTCCAAGTTTACATAAATTAACACTAGGGCATTAGCAATCCCCCAAAGCAATAATAAGTTCCATTTTGAGGTTAAATACCCAGAATTAAAATGATCTACACCACTAATGTATACAAGAGGAACCTGCAAGTAGTCACTATATAATATCTCTTTTTCATCACTTGCATTGCATAATATAAAACAAAGTGCTGGGGAGCAGTGTACAGCATATTAAAAAAGTAAAAGTGCTGGACAGAAGTGGAAGAATCTTTAGGTACAAAGAGACAGCAACTTGAGATTTGGGGTTTGTGTGTTGTGTGGCCAGGACAGGGATCATTTATTCAAGGCAAAGAGCGAGGCGTCGCGGAGGCTGCGCAGGCTGGCACTGATGTCCCGCCTCTGCTTTAGGCTGCTCCTGCCAGGAGGGTACTGGGTCATGTAGCTCGCAGGGCCACGGCCCCGCCGGGACAGGATATCCACCATGTGGCTCAGCTTCGACCTGATCGTCGAGTAGTGGAATTGCCTCTCTTTGTGCAGTTTTTGGAAATATTGTGCCCTGTGACTACTGGGATATTCAAAGGACCGGAGAGAGGATATTGAACCTGTAGAGTTTGCAAGAGAGCACTGGGATGATGACGAAGACAATGATTGCAGACTAGAACTGGATACAGCCTTTCCAGACAGAAAATACTCTTCTTTTGAAAACTTTCTGGGAAGAAGGGGTGTTTCTGTGCCCTCCTCTTCCTTTGTTTGTGTCACTGCTGTCTTCAGCAAAATCGATGTCTGAGTGCCTGTCACTCTGGTCGTGATAGAAGCCTGAGTGCTCATGTCTGCTGTGGCAGCGCTGGCCTGAGTGGCTGCATTACATTTGGTCACAGCTGCCATCTCTCCCCATGGGCCAGTTTGAGTTGATGCACTTTTCTGTTCCACTGTGGCCACTTGATTGCTGAACGACTCCTCTTCACACAGGCAAGAATGCCCCAGCTTACAAAACTTTCCTGCAGGAGTATATTCCATCTGATCTGTTTTTTCCAGCAATTTCTTTGGAGTGCTAGACAGTCTGGCAAATTCTGCTCTCAAGTTGCCTTCCACAGTATAATCTTTAGAGGATTCTGTTCTGGTCAGCAGGTGATTAAACATGGAACTGTTCCTGCAGCTGGACGGTCGCTTTGGGCTGATGGGCAGTGACTGGGCATAAAGAATCCTGAACTGGAGGTCAAAGTGTTCAACCACTTGACCTGACAACACCAGCAAGTTGCTGCTGTTCAGCTTCCCATCAGACCATGTGAAACTGTTGAAAACAAACCAAGACTCACAGTTAATCTCACAGTGCATTTCAATAATACAGCTATAGACAGTAAGACTCAGCTTAAACGTGAAGGTAAGGTAAGAAGTCAACAGACTATTAATTTCTGCAGGAAGAACTCTATTTAGCCATGGCCAAGCTCTCTGCTAGCAACAAGTTGTGTAAACCAGTTTTCCAAAGGCCTTTTCAGATTTGTGTCAGCTCCACTTTGACTCAGCTAGTCCATGTGCCATTGGCACTCATTAATACAGGGCAAACAGCAAAGTTAATGCATCCTTTTGCAACAAATCCCCCTTTCTACAGCTTCACTGGGCACCAGCAGACCCCAATACTTGCCTGTAGGAGCCTGTTGCCACTCTAATGCCATCAATTAACATGAACTTCTCCTTGGCTTTCCCGACAATTTTGGCACCTGACCTCATGTAGTACGTGCTCCCTGTGAGAGTTCGAACTCTCATCATCTGGTTCAGAAAAGAAAGGAAAAAAGTAACATCAAATTTTAGTTAACTTCCAAAAACTTTTGATTAGCAATTCAACTAAAAAGTGGCTACGCACAGTATGGAAAATAGGAATGAAATGAACTTTTTTTAGTTTAGTTTAGGTTTTTTTTACAGTGTCTGTATATGAGTGTTTTTAGTCATACAGTGCTAAATTGCTGATAGATTAGGTGAGAACAGTCAGTTCCAATTAATTACTGCCCAGGAAGGCAGGAGTGTTTTTCCCTCTCCAGAGAAACTTTTACTGCAGTGAACATAAGCCTATCCAAGCCAAGCCATAATACAGCCATGTCCATTTATATTCACAACAACTAAACAAATTACCTGGCTCACATCATCCTAAGCCTTTTAAAAGAAAGTATTAGGAAAGAAAGCAGATGATACCAGAGCTGTACCACCCTTTAGCTTCCCATGCTTCTGTTTTCCTTAGCAAGCAGTTCCTTGAGCCAAAAAAAACCAGCTATTTAAATATTGCAAAATTAAATCCCTGAAAATTGCTGCATCCTCAGGACATGGATCCCAGTGCACACTGCACACAGCACATGGGGCTGGTGCACATCGTGGTTGTAGTTGCTTAAGCCTTTCAAGGCAGTCTGATACTTTATAGAAAGGTTTATTTGATATGCATAAACCGTACCGCAAAAATAAAAACAAACACTGACCCCAATTTAGTACTTACACTTTCCTGCTCAGGACAAACTCCCAAATTGTTGCACATTTCCAAGAAATGGGGTGCAAAGTTCTGGTCAAGAAGGATGTAGACAGGGACTTGGCGGTTGTTATAGGCATCCTGAAGGTCACTGAAGATCTCAATGTCTGTGAAGGAATCCATCACAAGGGCAATCACCTGCAAGGAAAGTCACACCACTTACTCAAGGTGTTTATTTTACACAAGGCCATTGCCTCTCCCAGCCATTTTCTTCTGCTGCTTTCATCAGGGCCTAATGCACATTTCCTTGTCTTGCTGCACAGGTCCTGGCAAGTTCTAAAAAATTTCTATATTCTCACAATGCTCCTGTAAATGCATTGTGCCCCAGCATGCAAAGCATGGGCCTGAAGAGGTTTTTCTCCTGTCTGCTGCTTTTGTACACTTCCACATCCTCCTTTCCTACACAATCCCCTGTAATGTGGCCAAACTGGGGGAGCTATCACAGCGGAATCCAGACTCCAGACAAACTCCTATCTCCACACCTACTCTCCCAGTGTTTCAGCTACAGGAGAATTAGCTCAAATGGACTCCTTGCTGCCAGATCTCACAAACCCCAGCAGATTTTCAGACTCTTCCTGGTTTCTATATTCTTACTGAGTTTCCATCCCTTACCTTCACAGCAAATCCCTCCCCTCACCCAACAATTCCTTCAAAAAGGCAAATCCTAAGATGGGAATATCACATCTGTGACCCATCTCTCTAGCTAATTCAGAGCCACCTCACACAGATTTGGTGCTAGACTTCTCACCCTTCAAAATCACTTCTGTGGATGGACAACAAGGCATAAAGGATTCAGCTT